GCCGGGTTATCCAGCAGTGCCCAGGCCGGGTTATCCAGCGGTGCCCAGGCTGGGTTATACAGCAGTGCCAGGTCGGGTTATACAGTGGTGCCAGGCCGGGTTATCCAGCGGTGCCCAGGCTGGGTTATACAGCAGTGCCAGGCCGGGTTATACAGGGGTGCCCAGGCCGGGTTACAGCCCCGCTCGGTGCTGGGCGGAGGTGCCACAGCTGCGTCACCCCCGGCGGAGCAGCGCCAGCTCGGTCCCTGCCCCCGGGAAGGAAATGAGCCGCAGCGGGAAATAACGTCTGCACGGCCTCATCCACACGGCCGGGCACAAGGCAGGTGCCGGGACAGCCGGGCGGGAACCGCCAAGGCCGCGGCGAGGCCCGTGCGTGAGGCCCGAGCTGCCCAAGGCCTGCGGTGGGGCAGGGGGGGTTCTGCCGGCGGGGGGCGGCCACCCGGGCGGTGCGACCGGGCAGTCTCCGGGAGCCCCGGAGCCGCCGAGCCGAGGGGCTGTGGGCGAGCCCCGGCGCGGGGGCGGGAGCGCGGCCCGGCCCCGCCCCGGCGCGAAGGTTCCCGAGGCCTCTCGGGTCAGGGCCGAGGGCAGCGCGGGCAGCGCCCCCCGGCGGCCGAGGCGCGGGGAGGCGGCGGGGCCGCGGCCGGAGCGCGGGCAGGTAACGCGGTACCGGGGGCGCGGGGGCACCGGGGCAGCGCGGGGCTCGGCTCCCGCCCCGCCGGGGGCTCTCCCCGGCTCGACGAGGGCCGAGCGGCGGAGGGGCCGTCCGTGGGTTTGGGCCGCTGCCGCCAGGCCGCTCCCGGAGCCGCCGGTCCTGCTGGGCCGCCCGCGGAACACCCGCGGCGGCGCTCGGGGCGCTCGTTCTCACGGTGAAGCCCCGCCGGGGCCGCGGGGGGAGCGGGGCCGGACGTGCGGCGGCCGCGGGGCTCCGGCCTCGGCGGCTTATCCGGCCCGGCGCGGCCTGCGGAAATAAAAGTTTCGCTGTTCTATATTTTGATGATGTTTTTTTCAGCCTGTTGGGGGCTGTGAAGGGGACAGTGCCGAGAGAGGGGTTAGTTTTGACTTCGCAGGTCTGTTTTGTTGCCGTGCTGCCTCGGTGTCTCGGTTTGAAATACAAAATAGCCTTGAGAATGTATGACGAGGGGTTAAAAAAAGTTTATTTTTCTGGGGCAGGAAGTGCGGTATCCATAGCGTTTTCATCAACTCAGTTGACTGGTGATATACAGATACTGCTGTCTGGCCCACGAATAACTTCATGTTATTGGGATTTCTCATAACAATTTATAGAATATTTTCACAGTCAGAAAGAAATGTCTAATAGTGTTTAAAGCTGTTTGAGGGACCCAAATCTTCCATCTGCTTGGTTGTAAAATTTACTGTATTTGCTGTTGCATAACATAAGCAGTTGTTTCTCTGTTCCTCACCTTGTAAGAGTAGAGGATATGTTCAGAATTGCACTTAACTTGTGTAGAAGGTGAAAGGACAAATAAGAAGAAACAAATTTGCCAAGTGCTGTAGCATATATCCTTATGAACAGTGCCTCAGATTTGTTTTCTTTCAAAGAAGGAACAGACAGTAAATATGGGAATTTTGTCACGCAGTTAA